CCCGCCCCTTCATCCCCGTCTCTCTCTTTCTGCACCCAGCAGGGCCAAGGAACGACATTCTACCCCAATAACACTTATACTAGTAATAATTACACTAATAATAATATTAATAAGGACTACTCTGGTTTGTCTTTTGCTTCTTTGCGAGCCTCCGAAATTGCGGCTTCTCGTTCAGTTCTTCCTTGACTTTGTCCCACTTGGAGCTGCTCAATAAAGCGACCGCGTTGGAGTTGGACAGGAAGCGGCGAGTGAGGACATGCAGCCGATGGAGACTTTTTTTTTTTGTGATTTTTTTAAAATTTATTGATTTTTTTTTTTTTTTTTTTGGCTTGCCACCGGCTCCCAATCAAATAACAACGTGGGTCACATTACTCTTATTTCGACGTTTCCACCAGTCCACAAGCATGGGCAGACCAACTTATGCATGTTTGATCACAAGATCACAACACACACACACACACACACACACACACGTCATGAAGTGAGGGAAGGATGTAGCCCTATCTAATAGAAAAGTAGTGCTCTGCTGCCATCTTGTGGTAGTTATCAAGTTTTTTTGGGGGGTGGGGCGGGGTGGGGTGGCAATTGGCGCCAGGGCCTGGTCTCTATCCCCGTGAATCAAAAAATCTCAATCCTATACACAAATGTCACTTGTTCGGGAGCCACAAAAACCACCCATTGTGGCATCCCAAAAATCCGTGCCTGTAACCATGGCGACCTGGAAGGCAGTTCGTCACAGCTCAACTGGACGCCACCAAAAAAGGGGGGGGGGGGCTCGGCTCAATGTGCTCCATGTGTTTATTAATTGGTTCGCTCACGTGGTGCGTTTTGGCGTTGCCATGGCAACCGTGCAATCAGCGGAGCGCCTCTCCACACCGATTTGGTTTGACGATCAATCGCGTCTTGCCAATCGCCATAACGATCTGTGGCGAATGTCACGCCTCTTAAAGGACATGCACATTCCCTTATTGATGAGTATTGATCACTGTAAAAAACTCATTTGGTGAACACGCACACAAAGTTGAGAATTCGTCATTCTGTTGGGTCAATGTCACTAATGGCTGCCTGATCCCTGTGTGTGTGCGTTTGTGTGTGTGTGTGTGTGTGTGTTGTCTCATCGGCCTCTCGAGACAAATCTTCAGCGACACACACATTTAGACAGCAGTGTCTCTTGAGGGAGCGGTTTCATCATGCTTTATTCACACAAACACGTGTGTGCCCTCTCTCACACACTCTATATATATACACACACACACACACACACACACACACACACACACACACACACACACGATACGGACTTTCACTAAAAGATTTATGTTCCTCCAACAGAAGGAAAAACAAGGACAAAATCACATGGGGCACTAATAACTACACTGTGTTTGTGTGTGTGTGTGTATGTGTGTGTGTGTGTGTGTGTGTACACGTACGATTAATTACAGCCCCAAAGTAATGACATAGAAATATTTGTGTGACATTTAAAGAGCACCCACACCCCAACTGCCCCCCGGGACCCATACAGCGAGCACAAAAAGTATCAAACAATTCCACCTTTGCAGCGACTTGTCCTACAGACACGCACACACAAACACACAGACGTCAGGTGCCCCTCTTCACCCTCGAAAGGGATTTCCAGCTTTAAAACGGAGAGAAAAAAAAAGGTTTCTTTTTCAACGTGAACGAATGTATGATTGTTATTTTTCTAGAAGCGGACAGCTGACGCACGTTGTTGACTCTTTAATAAAGGCATCCTTACAAAAGTGCTTGTTTTTGTCCCCATTTGAAGCACCTTGTGACAGGAGAATTGTTTTCAATTTATTTGAATGAGTGGTTCCCCCTCCGAATGAAAACTGCAATGACATACAATAGCTTAGCCCTTCAGTTTGCTGGCTTAATGTTAAATAGCATCTAAGTCGCGGGTACTTTAACCCTTGAATCGACAGCCTGAACAAAAACCTGCAGCGACACATGGAGAACTAATGCAATGGCACTCAGTGACATATTCTTCATCCTCTGCATAGAACGATTAATATTAGTGCTGCACTGATAAACTGATGAGCTGTCTTGTTTGCCTTCTAGAAGAAGAAGGAGCAGCACAATGGTCCATTGATGCAGTGTGTCAAACTTATTTCAATTCTAGTTTATGATGTCATTAAGCGTACTGAGCAACAAAACTTCTTTCAAGATCCCGATGATCAACAAAATCTTTTTTCTATCAGTCTCTCTGTGCGGTCCGGGACCGAACAGACCACGGCCTGGCTGGCTAATGCACTAGCTTTCCTAAGTCTCATGATTTTTTTTCGTAGTGTCCGAGCAACGTTCACCCCACATTGCACGACTGTTGAAAGCTCTTTTTGCTGCGTCTATAGCATGCGTGTGTGTGTGTGTGTGTGTGTGTGTGTGTGTGTGTGTGTGTGTGTGTGTGTGTGTGATGCTCGTATTGCCAAGAGAGACGTGAGGGTTTTTCACACAAAGCTCTTGTGTGGGCCGCACTGCTGAATAGGAACCAGCTCTCATCTTTTCTCTCTCGCGCATGCCGCATCAAGCTCCCCTCCACCAACTCAGTGTCAACTTGTGCTATGAGACACACGCTCATCTGCCAGGGTACGTGTGTGTGCGCCGACGTACGTCACCGGGTGCCGGCTGTCCTTTTGGCAGGCAACAGCAGCACGCTCAAGTGTCTCTTTAAAAAAAAAAAAAAAAAACGCCTGGAGAACAGTTACCATTGTCTCCGATTGAAAAAGGACAAAATTAAAGTGGAGTACGGTGGAGAATCTTAAAATTATACATATCTAATTTTACATCATGGATTTCATACGATATGGTGGGATTTTGTGATTCACGTGGCTCGAAGTGCGAGACGGGAGACAAGCGTGCGTACGCGCGCAAATCTCCAAAGTCCAACAAGTCCACGGCAGCGCAGAAGTGGCTTTCGCAATGGCACATCGATAGTAAAGTAAACATGCTAGTTAAGATAATATAACCTACCACTGCGAGTTACAATGAATTGCAATACCTCCTCCGGCGGGAAACATTTCATTTCAGTGAACAAAAGAAAACAATATAGACACTTCACAAGCACATCCAACCACTAACTGTACAGTCACAACTGACACCCAGAGACAGTCAACAGGCAAACTGGCTAAGGGTTAGCCAGCTAGCTAGCGATCCTGAGCCAACGACAGTCAAATGCACACGCTCATTTTCTGACATGCAGGCCATTCAAAGTCACAGATACTACAGTGTAGAACTTGAGGATAGTGGACGAAAAGAATAGCTACACGTCACATGCATATTTTGTTTTGGAATTATGCATCAATAATCAAATAAACATGTGGTTGCTATTTCCTGGATTTTCATCTATTGCGTGGTGTTCTGTCTCTGAACCCGAGCGATTGCCATGCGGTTACTGTATGGTGAGTGGGGGGTGGGGTTATCATTTTTGTCCACGGACCTTCTCATTAACCTGTCCAGGCCAACAACTGTGATAATTGTTAAACAAGTTCAATATTTCAATTTGCAAATCCATAAGTGCATGGTCAGACAAACAACTCCGTTGTGTTGTGTGTTCTTTTCACATGCCTCACAACATCCACAACAACAGAAAGGACAAGGAGAAGAATTTGCAACAGGCACGTCACCACCACGATTTCGAGTACTCGTAGTACTACAGTGGTTAGCCGCTAAATTGGTATCTGCAGTAAAGACACTGTCGATTGTTTCTTCCTGTTGCTCAAATTTTAAAAACAAGACTAAGATGTAAATACTAAAAATCAGTATGTGCGTGTGGGTTTATCCTCAAGGCAATGCAACAGATATTACATGAATTTAGAAAGACTTTCGTAAGTTCCGTTCCACAATTTTGTTTCAAAGGGCCCCACTTCTTGTTCATGTTTGGACCGCACTTGCATTTTTTTCTGTGTAGACGGCGCCCTCCTGTGGAGTTTAAAATAACATAAAATGGTACCACAACATGAACGCGTCAAGGTAGCTGCGTCAAGAAATACCTCTTCCTGTTTACGCTCCATTCTCATTGGTCGAAGTGGTGCCACATTTTCCTCTCTGATTGGTGGTTGAAGAGAGGAAAGCGGAAGTGGTCTCGGCTGCGATGAGCTATCGAAAGGTGGATAAAACAATCCGTTGATAAAACTTCAAGCAAGAAAAAAACGAGCGTGTCGGTCGGCCAAACTCAAACAAAGGCGGGCGGAATGACTTTATTGGCTCGTTTTTTGCTTTTGGTGAGCGTCGCTGCGGCTGGAACGGCGGCGAAGAGCGACGGCGACGACGAGTGGGTTCATCTTCCGGACAATTGTGAAGGTAACTGACCATTAACAACCCACAATGCACTTCAAATAAATGGAAACAGCAGATGGTATAATAATTCTAATCAATACCCATCACATGCATTAATATCTAACGGTGATTTCTTGAACCATGCACTGAAAATAGAACATTGGGCAAATAAATTACTGAGACATTAATTGGTCATGTTTAAATTGTAATAAAATTGAAATGTTGTCAATTTGCTTTAATGTGATAGTAATTAATTTATTAATTTTTCAGTGTGCAAGTTTGTCAGCATCGAGATGAAGTCTGCCTTCGACGAAACTGGGAAGACCAAGGAAGTTATCGATCGCAACTACCGCTTCATTGACAGCAAGGGAGCTCCGCCTATTAAATACGTCAAGTCGTAAGTGTGTGGCACTGCCTTCGTATATATGCAAACTCGTGTCTCAAATCATCTATTTAAGCCTGCCTGCCCGTTTGTCTGTCTGTCTTTCTTTCCCTCCACAGCGACCTGCGCTTCATCGAGGTAGTGGAGAACGTGTGTCAGAGGCTTCTGGAGTACAACCTGCACAAAGAGAGAAGCGGCAGCAATCGCTTCGCCAAGGTTGGTTGCACTTCTGAATCAAGCTATGCCTGCTTATTCCTTCTATCAAGAAGCGTTTGTGTACATAGGGCATGTCTGAGACCTTCTCCACCCTTCACGGCCTGGTTAACAAAGGGGTTAATGTGGTCATGGACATTCCATACGAGCTGTGGAACGAGACGTCAGCGGAAGTTTCTGATCTCAAGAAGCGGGTAAATATGTGCATTCTGGGGATCAATAAAAGATAGCTCGAAATTAGTTCTAAGCGCAACGTGTGTGTGTCTGTCAGTGTGACGTGTTGGTGGAGCAGTATGAGGACGTGATTGAAGACTGGTACAAAGGTAGCCAGGAAGAAGACTTGACGACATACTTGTGTGAGAAGCATGTGCTCAAAGGAAAGGACACAGGTGACACACACACACACACACACACACACACACACACACACACACACACACACACACACACACACAAAATGAGGACAGAACATGTCCCACTGAGGCTGCTAACCACTGTACATTCTTTGCCCAGCCTGCTTGAAGGAGGAGTGGACTCCCAAAAAGAAGGGAGACCATGCAGCTATCGCAGAAGACAAGACGAAGAAGAAGAAGAAAAGTGAAGGAAATGACGGCAAAAAGAAAAAGGAGAAGAAAGTGAAGAAGGCTGCAGCGGAAAGTATGGAGGGAGTCCAGCCTCAGGCGTCTCTGTCTGGGATGAAGACGGAGCTCTGAGGAATCTGTGGAGAACGCTTGCAGGAACTTTTGTTACAATGAAGAAACAATTTCTCCTATGCTGTACTTTAATTTTAATGTCATGTTGAATGTGTGTTCTCCAAGCTGCTATTTAAGATACATGTGAATTTCCTCGTGTGTGTGTGTGTGTGTGTGTGTGTGTGTGTGTGTGTGTGTGTGTGTGTGTGTGTGTGCGCGCTAGCGAGCGAGCGCTGTGAAAAATGTGCTTGGTGCAGCATTTGCTTTTCAATAAAGTTTTATATAAAAAACAATTTCCCATCACTCTGGATTCACCTGTGAGAGGAAAATCCGCATAATAGAGAATATATATTACATATTTTTTTACCCTATTCCACCGCTCACATGCTTCAAATACATTTAAACTTTAAAGTACAATTGTATTGTATTCCTTTGCACCTGCTAGCACAGTTCTCCACATAAAAAACAAAAAAATGATTGCTTAAAGTTGTTTGTCGCTCCCGATTGAAGTTTACTTATAAATTGATTTCAAAAAAAGTATGAAACACCTAAGTGTTCTTCCACCCAACGTAATTTTGTCTAACGAATGTCCGCTAAGATACATTAGCATAAATACCACGCCAATTAGCGAAGGGTTCCCTAGAAAAACTATTAGACGCAACCCTGGGGTGTTGTCGTGTAAAACTGACATCACAAAGAATAATTAATTAAACACCAAATCATCTATATCTATGAAGCCGCATAATTTCGTCTGACGAACGTCCGCTGATTTATTGCTAACATACCTAACATTTGCGTAAATACCACGCGAATTAGCGGAGTGTTCCGTGTAAAAACAACGAGACGCAACCCTGGGGTGTTGTGTAAAACTAACATCAAATAAAGCAAACGCCAAAATGTTTCACCGAATTACACATTTTCGTCTAACCAATGTACGCTGGTTTAATGTTCATAGTCTGGGTACAAATGAGCATAAATACTACTAATTAGCGATTGGGTCACTAAAATAGAGGCAATTCTGTGGTTTTGTAATGTCAACATTTGACCTCTGGGGGGAGTTAGAACTAAACATGTATGATCCAGGGACAACGTAATGTCATTTCATCCCCACCCGAGCAAGCCAGTATTCTGTTCCAACGATTGATGCCAAGCTCAGTGGGGCTTTGCCCCACTGTATCCATCTTTTAACTACCACTACTATCACGTCCAAATAACACAAAACCATCGCTACTCAACAAAAACACAATTTCAAAGCATCCAACTGTGCCACAAACTAGCTTTAGCAGTTCACACTCAAATTAAATAAAATGTTCAAACGTGTTCAAATCACGATCTCACATTGGGTATTGTGCTCAAACAAAGATCCTACCTCCAAGAGTGAGTGCTGGGCACAATGAAGGCGAGCGCAATGAAGACAAACGACGACCACAAACAACATCTACAGCAATTGATGCCACATCATTCATTTTGTTTTTACTTTTGAACCTGCAAGTGACCGAACACTTTGCGAACTGGACCCTCCCGATGAGAGCGTCACCTTCATCCATCTCCGTTGTCGACGCCACACCTGCCAAAACACAGTTTGACCATGCTGAAACATCATTGGAATCCCATCCAAAGTTTTCACAAAGATACAAAAAAAGCACTTTGAACAATATTAGTTGTAAATCAGCTGTTATATTTGTTAATATTAGCCGCCTACTGCCGGAAGACAGCTGGATAGGCTCCAGCGCCCCCCGCGACCCTTGTGAGGATAAAGCAGAGTGGAAAATGGATGAATGGATTAGTTGTAAATCAACAACAAAATGTTACCTGGTGATTGAAAGCAGCATTTGAATGCTATCGCTAGCTGTTGAGCTAGCTAGCTTGCAGCTTTTGACTCAACCGTGTGTCACGTTCATGAGTGCTTCCTATTTTTGCCATCTTTATAACATTGAGTGCATTTCTACTGTAGCCGTGCATTGTACTCTTTGTGTTGGATCTTTGGTCAAGGAGGATTAAATTAAATAGATGGACAATTTTCATTGTTTTGTTCCGGTGAGTGCTTCACGAGATACATTTGATGTCAGCATATGATGAATTATTGTGCGGTGTTAGTTCATCATTTACTGGCACCAATGTAAAGTCATGGTGAGAAGATGGAGCATTAGCCAAGGAAAAGATTGTGGGTTGCACGAATCAGCTGATTTCACTGCCGGCAAGATACCCAGTTCACACATTCGTGTTTATTAACATTTACTGTCAAACTAAAAAAATAAAGCAAAGAGAAATACATGTTGTGTATTTAAAATCCATACATTTTTGCTGAAGAATGCCCTTGCTAGCTTAACGCTAAAACATAATGGATAACACTATTGTTGGGCTAGCACACTTAGCATCGGTCATTGCGGTGTTATAAGCCTAATTTGAACGCAAATGGTGGGACAATAGTACGGCCAGACATGATCACAAAATTCGCAGGCAGTTTTATTCTTTATCCTCTGTGAAACGTGACTAATATAAAACTATTTATTGACGCACACATAAAAAAAAATTTGGCATTTGCGACAGTGGGAAAGACACTGTCACACTGCATGTGCCTTTGTCACCAGCTCACCACTGTCGCATCTCTGTGCCACAAGGGAGCCCATACGCTAATGTGCTAATCGCGGGGCTACATGGCATTTGGAGCAGAAAGGTGTGACATGCAAGCTTTCACACTGGCCAGCCATTTGCATACACACGCACAAGTGTACACACTCCTCCGGGCCTGCCATGAATAACAGCTGACCTTTGCACATTTAGGCTGCGAAATGACAGCGAGGCGAAAGGCCGGGCATTGTTATCACACCTCCCTCCTCTCAAGTCATTTTGTCTCTCCATCCAAGAAAACAAATAATCACGTTTGTATGTCCCAACGCGCGGCTCGCTTCACGTACGTCGTGTTGGTGATTTGCGTCACCGCCCGCCATCCATCAAGTGAGCGGCGCCGGCCGACAGGAGGAACGAAAGCACAAATCCTGCCGGCACGCTGCCATTGCGCAGTCATTTATTTGACACCGCGTGTTTCTTTTTCAGCATTTTCTCAGGTCCATTCTTGTTGGATTTCGTCATATCTCGGACTCGGTGTTTCTTGTTCAGGATTTTGTGACACCGCCTGCTATCCATCAGGTGAAGGCGGGTGAACGACACCAGGAAGAAGAAAGGACTGATGGCCGCCAATGGCGAGTGTTTATTTGGAGCGTGTGTGTGTGTGTGTGTGTGTGTGTGTGTGTGTGTGTGTGTGTGAGAGGAGAAGGGACAAAATTGTGAGCGCATTTATGGAGGAAAGGTTTATTGGGTTTGACACGCACGCGCGCAAACACACACATTATCTTCTCGGGCTCAGTTTTGGGAGAAAATTCCCATTCTAATTTTCCTGATGAAGCCTCTAATGAAGACGAATGATGGAAAAAGGTGCGCGTCTCTTCCTCCATCACCTCTTACTCTTCAGCTTTTTTACATCCACAAATAGTGTCAAGAGTCTGTCTTGTGTGTGTGTGTGTGTGTGTATATCACACGCGCACACACACACACACACACACACACACACACACACACACAGACATGTGTATAAATATATATCGATATATAGGTGGCACGGTAGTCGACTGGTTAGCAGTGATGAAAATTCCGTCCCTGGGACGGGGCGGTATGGTCCATTGTCCATCCGTCCGTCACGGTCACTGAACCGATCGCCAGCCAATCGCAGGGCACATATTGACGAACAACCATCCACCCTCAAACTCCCACGAAGGAACAATTTGGAGTGTTCAATCAGCCTGCCATGCATGTTTTTGGAATGTGGGAGGAAACCGGAGTACCCGGAGAAAACTCACGCAGGCACGGGGAGAACATGCAAACTCCACACAGGGAGGCCGGAGCTGCAATTGAACCCGGTACCTCCGCACTCTGAGGTTGACGCGCTAACCACTGTTCCACCGGGCCGCCAGCTAATGTTGAGTTGCAAAAAAAAAAAAAAAAACGGATGTTATTTTTGATTTGATTGATGGCCAGTCTAATCTGCAACAGCCAATCACGGCGTTCCTGAAAATAAGGTTCGGTAGGCAGGCGTATACGCGATGAATAAATCAGTGTTTGCATGCAAGAGTCTTGCACATTTTTCAAAGTTTGGCATGGGGTAATGTTGCAAGGCATGTCATGTGTTTTGTATTTTATGGATGATGCGTTTCTCTCATGAAGTGACAGAAGCTTTGAAGTGAGTGCCTCTATAGAGAGGAAAACACCCAAAAGTCCCTAATACAGTACAGTGTAATAAATCGGATGTTTATTGTACTACAGATTAATTTATGACTTGTGTTTGTAAAAAAAAAAAAAAAAAAAAACATGGGAAGAAGACATTGAACAAAGTTGCATATTAAATCGCAATATTGAGGTGGCAAAAAAACCTCAATTAGCTTTTTCAAAATGGTTCAGCGCTAGCCGTTACCTTGGTTACAGTGACACCTTGAAGCATTTGTTGGTTGTTTCTTCCCCCCACCGTCATTTTCTCCCGCATGGTTACTCACATCCTTCACGCCGTCACCTCTTCATCCCTCCTCATCATCTCTCGTCCATCCCTCCTCATCGCGGCGCTGCTCGTCTTCCGCCGTCCATCGCTCAGCTCTCGCGGCTTCCATTAGGGGGGCAAATGGAAAAAGTGACATCAGCTATTTGGTAAAAGCGATGGAGACGGAGAGCCGGAGGAAGGAGGAGACACCGGCGGCCGAGGAAAAGCCGCGCGTTGGCTGGCGAGGGCGGAAGGAAAAAGAGCGGCGAGTGCGCGGCGGCCCGTCGTCGTCGTCATCGTGTATATTTGCGGTCACAAAGAGGAAAGCCAAAGAGAAACAAAGCGAGCGTCACTTCTATCTACACACATGAACCATTCTTGTACATTTCAAATTCACAAAGAACAGACAAGAAGAGTTCGCACTGGCAAAAAGTGCGGGTGACAAAAGTTACAAAGTGGAGCCGGGGAGCGCTTGAATTGCTCGTCTGATGGGCAAAAGGAAGAAAACGAAAAGTGCTACTCAACTCACGCGGCAAATGACTACTTCCTGCTCAGGTTGAGAATTTTTAGAATATTCTAAAAATCAAAAATATAAAAAAGGGCTGTTTTTTTTTTTTGTTTTTTTTTTAAACATGTCCTTCAAGGTGATAGAAAACACTTCGGGGAGTCCAAGACGAGCAGGTGGAGGAGTGGGTGCGTTTTAGGTAAAACCGTTTTCCAACGCTTTCTTTTTGGAAAGAAGAAAAAAAAAATGTCATGAAACAGAAGCCCCGCCCCCCCTCCCCATATTCCAGAAAGTTCTTTTTTTAACAGTCTCCTTCCGGCGCCGATGAGCTGATTCCCGTCCAATCCGAGCGGGCCAGCCAATGAGGTGGACTCAAGTGGCGCCAAATCCGGCACTTGAGCGTGCGTAAATAGAACGAGGTCACGTTTTGGTCCGCTCAGCCTTGACGTCCCTCCATCGACGTCCCAGCATGCTTCGCACGGCAACCAAAGGGACACGGGAAGGAAGTCGTGTTGCACAAAGAGGAATGAATGATTATTGTTGTTGTTTTCGGGGGAGGGCGGGTGTGGGAGGGGGGGTGATAATGATGCAATGGTGGTGCTGAAGTGTCGTAGGGCGGGGGGGCATTGCATCCCGCTTGGGGAGGACGTGACAGAGGCGGACTCCAGCACTCTAGAACATGATGGTGGTCTTCAGGAAAGCCCGAGATTCTGATTTGAAAGCAAAACAAAACCATCAGGAACATACACATATACGCATGTACAGTATATGGGATCATGTTCAATATTTGTCAATATTTTTCACAACATACACACACACACACACCACAGAATCTAAAAAGCGGGGTAAATGCCACGTTGCCGGCTCCTTTCCCTTAATGGCTGTGATCTCAGATCCTCTTTGCAGCCTCACTCACACACTCGCGCCTTCCTTTCCCCCTGCGGTGTCATTGTTTTCTGCCAACGTTGCAAACTGTTTACATTTTCTGCATAACGGCGGCCATAATGCCGTCCCGCTCTCTCCTCCGCCGCTCTCCGCTTCCTCCATCTGACAGGACATCCGTTCGGGGAAAAAAAAAATTTTTTTTTTTTGCGACAATGTTCTCAGGTTTCCGACTCGCCTGCATCCCTCTCATCGGCTGCCCTTCGCTATTTTTAACACGCAACACTCCCCCCGCTCCCACTGCTCCTACTCTTTTTGCAATGCAGCATCCCTCCCATTCCTCACCTCCCGTCCTCTATCTGTTACGCTCAGGTTATTTTTATCCTGACCCGTTCGTCTTCCGCCCGGTGTAAAAGGTGTTTGGACACGGTAAATTCCGTTCCGCCGGCCTCTCCAAGACGTGACAATAAAGAACTGAACGATGGAGCAATGCATGTCGACAGATGAAAAAAAAAAATAATGATAATAATACCTACATGCATATATTCTTTATCCTCTACACAAAACGACAAATATTACAGCATCCCACTGAGTCACGAACACTACCTGTAACGGAAGACGACTATTCGTTTGAGTCTACATACCGCCTCCCGGTGGTCACGGTGGGTACACAAGCTGCAGCGTGACGGTTGAATTCTTTGCATTCCAGACATAATTTAATGTCATGACGCTCTGCTTTTATAAAGTACAAGATTCCCACCAATTGGCATGGAGTCACAAGCGTAGTTGCCACAGTCTCGTTTCTTTACCGTCACGCCTCGTAATCGTCATTAGGAGGCAAACGCGGCAAGTGAAAAATGGCGCTGACCCGCCTTGTTAAAGTCTATCAGCAGGTTGCTGTAAATGTCAGCGGGTTTGGCAACAAGGTCACATTTTTCAAGTCCCCCCCCCCCCGCCCCTCCTCCTCCCGTGCCTTCCTTTGCCTCGTCTTCCTCCGCTCCAGTCTCCCCTTCATGGGTGCATTTTTAGTTGCAACCTTTCCCATAAAAGCTCCTCTTCCTCCCCGCATCTCTTCTGATTCTAATGCCACATCTTTCTTTGTATTCAGCACTTTTCTCTCCACTCGTTAATTAAGAGTGCGGAAGGTGAGAGGCGAGGGAGGTTGGTGCGCGCGGGTGCGCATTAAAATCACTGTAGGTGCAAAACGCTTTTATGGCAGCGGGCATGAACGTGCGTGCGTACGGCAGCAAACGGGTCCTACTGGGCCAATCAACATTAATGACATCAGGTGGGTCGGCAAGCGTGCGCGCGCGCGTGCACAAGTCGGCGTGCGGCGGCCAAAGTGTGCGGATCTAAACGGGTGTAAAGAGAAGGGAGAGCTCATTCCACTTGTGTCCCACCCAAGTGTGGATCAAACTCGCTCACGCACCCACGCAGGTGGAGCCGAGCGATTTCATACGCATGCAGCGTTTCAAAAGCGAGCTTCTCAATGTCAGGCGGGACTGAGCCCAGCTGGTGGAAGAAGGACAACACACACCTACTAACACGCACGCACGCACGCACGCACCTAAAAGGCTAAATCCTGTTATGACATCAAACCACCTACAGCAGTGGTGCCCAACCCCCGGGCCGAGGACCGGTACCGGTTTGTGGATCATTTGGTACCGGGACCAAAAAAACTTAGATTACAACAACTTAATTTTGACTTATTTCAGAATCTGAAAGATGTTTTATTTTGAAAAATGACCGGATTCTCTGTCAAATCCGTATGTCACTCTTGATGCGGGTCAAGGCGCGCTTCTCGGTCATGTGATAAGGTACCGCTAAAATGAAATCCGGGAGCGAGCAAAATGAGTAAAACCTCTTTGGAAAGTTTCTTTGGGAAGGGAAAAAGGCCCATTTTTTTCATGAATTTTGTATTTGCGGCGTATCTTATTTTGAGAGCACGTTTAAACGTTACCATGGCGACCAGAGAGTGCTGCGGCCATATAGGACGTTCCTCTAGTCATGATTCGTGTTTATTATTATGTTTCGAAAATACCACAGCTTTCATGCAGGTCATATCAGATTATTTTGTTATATTTATCCATCACACCTTCAAGGCCGGTCCATGGAAATATTGTCTGACATGAAAGCGGTGCGTGGGGCAGAAAAGGTTGGGGACCGCTGACCTACAGGATACCAAAATCTGCTTCCTGTCAACGCTTACCAGTGACTGAGCACACTCACGCACATTATGTGCTTGCTACACTGCGCAAGCGCGTGTGTGTGTGTACCTTGCACAGCGCCGTTGTCTTCCTGGTTCCCGTTCAGCTCATCCTGCTGGTCGGATGCGGCGTCTGCGCAAGACAGAAGAAGTGCGTGAATAAAAGACTTCAATCATTGCTTTGAATCTCATCAGACCTCATTCATCCGTTTTCGTGCGACGTCAAAATGTCGCAAAGTACCGGCGATGTTGTCGTCGGCGGCGTGCAGCGGCTCGGGCGAGGATGAGGACGAATGTTTCAGGGCGTCGTCCCCCCGCTCCCGCCGCTTGGACTCGAACTCGAGCGCCTCCTGCAGCTTCCGCTTGGCCTTCTTCTCTTTCTTCAGACGTTTCTGGATGGACGCTGCGGGCAGAGGGGGAAAACCGTTTGGGACTCGACTCGAATTTCCCAGAATGCCTCGGGACTGCTCGCACAAGGGCCAGTCTTCCGGAATGCATTCAAAACATTGCGAGCGGTAAATTGACGTGCGCGCGGGAGACCTCTGCTCTGCAGTTCCGAGGTCAGCTGACGCTCCAGACTCTCTCTCATCTCCCGTTCGCGGTAGAGCTCCATCTTCAGCTCCCTCTTCTCCGCCTGGATCTGCTTGTCCTGCACGCGGGCGTTCTCCACCGCCACCTTCAGGAGGCCCTGAAACGCACGCGGGCACGCCTTGTTCAAGGGTGCACGCGGGACGGAAACGAAGAGCACTGAGCTGCTCGCACCTGGATGTTGGTGAGGAGCGTCTCGACGGACGACAGGCTGTCAGCGAACAGGAACGGGGCAGGGAAGCCGGGAGGCAGGCCTTGTCCTAGCGAGGGTTCGTCTTCTATGAGCAAAACAAACACGGCATTGAGAATACTTCAAGGATGGTACTTTATAAAGAGAAAGTAATGAGATGAATAGAAATAAAAAGAAGGGAACGCATTTTTGTCAGACATATAAGGGTCACGAACAAGTATTGACTCCTCTTTCAGATTATCAGTGCGGCACTAATAAGAGTCGTGCTACCCAGTGGCTAAAGAAGAGATGAGTGGGAGTCCTGTCACGTTGTCTATCGACGTCGCTGACAGGGATAAAGTGCAGCAACAGAGGTAAGCGCTGAAAAGAGAAGCCATTTGCTTGTTTTCAATAGACGAGGTGCCGTTCTCTTTGTTTTTAATTGAGCTTAGGGCCAACAAAAACTTTTTGGGGTGAAGAATTGTTCCCTATCTGTCAATTATAGCAGATCAACTCTGCGCTCGCAAGTCAATGGGGAGGAAAAAAAACCCCAAAACGTATCTTCGGGCTCCTCCAGTTCACTTTTTCTCACAAACACACTCACACGCAGGCACACACACACAGAGAAGTTGAAGACGCGTGTGTTTACTAAAGTGTAGAAGTCAATGATGCGGCATCACGGATCAATTACGTTTGACACACGCGCGCCTCATTAGTATTCAGACAATCACGTGAGGTGCTAATTGGCAGGGATTAAAGACACCCTTGATTTGAGTGTGTGTGTGTGTGTGTGTGTGTGTGTGTGTGTGTGTGTGTGTGAGATTGCGCTCATTGCGAGTGCGTCACAGTGTCTGCTCAGCCCTTAATGCCTAACACACTGACAACTGAGTTAACTCTGCTGTGAAATTAACGCTGATGAAGATGCACTCTCGAGCGCTCACGAGCACGCACGCACACACACACACACACACACACATACACACATTTGTGCTAATCTCTGATCTGCCGCTTCTTCCGTACTTTTCCTCCTCCACCACATGCGCTTATCATCTTCTCGCTGTTTGGAAGAGGCGGGAATCGAGGAAGGTGTCGCATTGCCAAGGATGGAAAATAGCGGGCGTGCTTTTAGCGCGACACCTCTTGACCCCTTTTAGCCCTGCCTCGTTCACTGAGCTGCGCGCACACACGCACACACACACACACACACACACACACACACACACACACACACACACACACAAGTATCCTCATCGGTCTGATTGATGACTCAGAGACAGGTGATCAATAGGAGTGGCGGAACATCCTGACACTTCAGATGTGAGCACGCGCGTGCGTGCGTGTGCGTGTGTGTGTGTGTGTATGTGTGCACGTGTGCACGCAAATGTGTGCGAATACAGCAGATGAAGTGAGTGAGGCTGATTTGTCAATTGTCAGAAGGAAATGGGTGAAGGGTTTGGATGAAGGTGCATAAAATGCAGAATATCTCGACATGGAAAGTCTTGAGTGTTTGTGCGTGTGTGCATGTGCGCGCACGCGTGTGTGGTCAAACCTTTGTCCTTTGTTATTTTCTTGATGGGTGTTGCGACGTTGGCCAATGGAACATCTGCATCGGCCGACAGCAGGCCTGGAGACGCAAAACCATGATCAGTATGTGTGTGCGTGTGTGTGTATGTGTGTGTATAAACAAGTAACACTCTCCATTAAAACTCGGGCTCAATTTAGCTCCTCCCCCTCATACAAAGGCAGCCCCTTGGTCGAGCTGTATCACTTCAACAGACTTCTTCTACCACGTTTGATGGCTCATAATTACTGTGCCATCGATGCTAATTTTAGTTAGCCCGTTGATGGCATTTCACATTATATGGTAGCATTAAGCTAGCGGACTTTCTTTGGATGCAATTATATGGTGTGGTTGAACATGTTGGTGTTGAAATATGCACGACACTCTTTTGTCTCCTGCCTCAGCTTAATCATAATCTTCACCTTGAAGTGGCAAAGAAGCAGCTCGGAAGCGAGCACGCGCTTAATTGCAGATCTGTTCACGAGTCCTCTTTTTGTTTCCGCGTGGAACGCTTTTCCACAATCAATAAATACAACATACCGAGTCTTTCCGGCGAGCTGGAGGCGGAGCTACTGGGCTGCGACTGCAGAGGAGTGTTGGTCTCATCGACAGACGGCGACAGCGAGGGGCTGTCGCACAGCCGCTCCTGCCCAAGACGCACAAATAAAGCAACGGCGACACACGTGCGCACCAAGGTTATCACGGTGGACAAACACGAACAAAATAACCAGAGCTCAAATTGAAAAACATTTTAGTTCACGGAATAAAATTAAAGTCAAGGCGCACACACACACACACACAAAACAAACTGAAACTAAGCCTTATGTCCATAAAATTAAATCGAATTAGAGAGAAAATGTCTGTTTTTGTCTTTGTCTATTAATTGAATGCATGAGCTTTCAAGGTTGATTTTAAATATGCTGATTTCAATTTTTCAGTGACCTGTTTTTTTTTTCATCTTGCACTTGACTAATACTTCATATCGTTGCTCTCCTGTGAAAAGCAAATTTTTGTCTTTTTTTCCTTACATTGAGTTACATTGTGTTTTTCAACAGGAGCGCGACAATGTATTAAAAAAAAAAAAAGACTAAAACAAAAACTAAACAGAAACAAAGCATTTAAACAAAATATATATATACATATATATAAAATTGGCTTCTAACTATGATAAGCCCTTTTCCAGACACAGAAAGCACGCAAGCGGGTTCTACCTTGATTACGGGCGCCCGGTGCACGTGTATCTGCTGAGCGGCGGCGGCCATGTTGGCGATGGTGCTGAGGTGGTTCATCTGCGACATCGCCATGGCGACGGAGGCGGGCGGCAAGCCCATGGGCAGCAACGGGTGCGGCATCATCATGAAGGGCAGCTCCAGTCCTCAAACAAAGAGACGGCCGCGCGGAAGAGTCAGCCAAGCCAACGGCGAGCCGAGCGAACGCCGCAATGTGGTCGCCGAGCGATCTTTTCGAACAGCTCGAAGATATGAAATGCGTTGCGGAGGCTGTGACCCGTCGTTGAACTTGTCAAACGGGCGGAGTGGGGTGAAAGATGAAAGGTGAAACCGAGGTGAAATGTTTGGTTTGCTTTCAAAGCCCCTCAAAACCTCTGACCCCATGACGCCAACACCCCGCCCCGCCACCCCTCACCCTATCGTCTAGCGTGCGCGCAAAGACATCAGCTGGGAGTGCGCGTGTGGTCAACGTGAAACAATAACACTGATTGCTGTTGTCCTGACGACTCGACACATACAATCATCAATGTGAGTGTTTGCCGCGTGCGCGTGTGTCAGACACATGACTTGGAATCACAAGCTATTGTGTGTGTGTGTGTGTGTGTGTGTGTGAGAGAGAGAGCGAGAGAGAGATGTTGATGAATTGAGTCATTTAGGTGAGTGTC